GGCAACAACGCCCTTGGTGTCCGGCCCGGGGTGGGGGGTCCCGTGCCTGTGGGCCTGGGGACGCCGGGGTACTGGCGCGCAGCGCCCTCAGCCGGTCTGAGCAGACCAGCTGCAAGATCTGTGGGGCCTCCTTGGGGGACTGGTCGGGTGGCCTCGGAGGGAGGCCACCAGGACAGAGGGTATCAGATCCACACCCCTCATGCAGGCAGGGCGAAGGGGTATCTGGACCTGCGCCCTCGGAGGCCCTTTCTTCACTGGACTGAGGCAATGTTCTGTGCATCCCCCATGGAAGGGGCCGACCCAGAGGACAGGGCCTCCTGGGCTTCCTGGCACCTGCTTGGGGGCGTCTGCTCCACAGCGCTCCAGCATGCTTGAGCCTGGTCCTCCTCCCTCCAGCAGAAGCCCTAGATGGGCGTGAGGCTCAGGCAGGCTCCGAGCAGGGAGTGGGGCCAGGGTCTGGAGGGAAGTGGCCGCCCCTCTTGCCCGCCGGCCCTGGGGGAGGCAGGGGCATCTCGGGCCTGGGCGCTGGCCCTCCCTGCCTTGTCTTTTGGCGACTGAGTGGCTTAGGCTATGGCCACTCGGGTAGCAGGAGGGCCGGTCTGCCTCAGACACAAGTCCCGCCCGGCGGCAGACGCTGACACTGCTCGTGCCGGGGAGGGCCGGCCCCAGGCGCGAGGAGCTAGCTGGTGAGGCCCGGGCTCGGCTGGTGTCCCGAGCGGTCCAGGGACACCTTCCCTGCCCAGGCCGGGGCATGCCTGCTCTCTCCCTGTGGCTGGCCAGGCCAGGCCTGGGGGTAGGGGTGCGGCTTTCCAGAAAGCTGGAGTAAGACAGGCTGGCACGGCTGGGGGCGAGGCCCAGACACAGCTCACACTGGTGGAAAGCCAGCCCCCGGCTGGGGGCGCAAGGGGGTGTCCCTGATGTGTGTCACTCTTTCTGGGCACCAGCGGGCATCCTAGAACTTGGGAGGAGCTCCTGGCCGGCTCCCCTCTTGCCGGCACCCCCCATGGCCCCTCCTCTGAGGCCCGCCAGCTCTGTGCGTCACCTCCAACACCTGCTGTCCCCCCATGCCTCTGGCACCCAACCCAGGAAGGGGCTTGACCCCAGGCAGAGGTGGGAGTTTTGCTTTGTGCACAGACTGGAGCGTGCCTGGGGCGAGGGCTGCTCCCCAGGGCTCTGGCCACACCTCGCCTGCGGCTGCCAGCAGATGGCGGATGGGACAGACAGTGGCCAGCACACTCGCCCCCGTCCTCAGCTCACAGTTTATTTGTAGGCCTGTGGGTGTCTCTGCCCCGGGGCTTGAAAGGCTGTGTGGGTGCTGGGGTGGGCTGGTGGGGGCCAAGGGAGGGGTGCTCTCCCCCCCTAGCTTGCCATGTCCAGAAGGAAGCAGCTGTGTCCGGGGCCACGCGGAGGGCTGCCCCTGCTCAGCAGGGGCTGTGCACCCAGAGGGGAGGACTTTGAGGGTGGGCAGGAGGGCCTGAGGGGCTCGGTGGAGAGACTCCGGGCTTCAGGAGCGGGTGACCACCTGGGCTACAAAGAGGACCTTGTAGGTCTCCTTCACGTCCCCACGGATCTGCAGCAGGGCTGAGGCCGTGAGCGGCTGGTCCGGCTGTGAGGGAGGGGAGGGGAGCGGCCATCACCTGCACACCTGCCACCCATGCGCTGGACGGCCGCCGCGGCCCTGCCCCTGCAGGACACTGCTGGTGTCCATGGCACCTACGTCAAAGTCGGCGGGCGGCACCCAGGAGATGCTGATGGTCCTGGTCTGGCCACGCTCCACGAAGCCCTTGGAGGGCTCGATGGTGAAGCCCTTGTGCTGCAGGGCGGCCACGCTGTCCACGCTGAACTCCACCATCTGCGGGTGGGCGGGCAGGTGGGGGCCAGCGGGCACAGGGGCTGCCACCCACCACCCTCTCTGCCCTGGCCGGCGGGTACCACCCACACCATGGCAGGGGACCAGCCAGGCCCGGCCAGGCGGCCCAGGGTGGCGGGGCCCAGGCGGGGGAGGCTGTGGCGGGGCCCACCTTCTTAGGAGACAGCTGGGTGGTGCGGATGCAGCCAACCCGCAGCTCTCGGCTGGCGGGTGGTGCCGGCTCAACTGTGTCCAGCTGGACGTAGTCCAGGGTCACCAGGATGGGCTTCAGCTCCTCGGTTTCTGGAGACAGAGGCCCGGTTGGGGGCTGGCCCGGTGGGGAGGGGTCAGGCGAGGAACAGGGGGTTCTTCTGGAATCTCGGCTGGCAGTGCCCCCTTGAGGGGTGGTCTGGAAGGCCGTGGGCAAAGGCGCGGTGGGGAGAGTGCCCTCGAGGCCCACCTTCTCTGCGCTCCGCGTCGAAGGCAGGGGTCACCGCCAGGGACTCCACAGGCACGTCCAGGGGGTCCCCGCCCTCCACGAACATCATGTGCTCTCGGGCGGCGCCTCTCAGGAGGATGCGGTGGGAGATTTTCTAGGAACAGCAGCAGTGCTCTGGGCCTGCGACCCCAGGCTGGGGCTGGGGGGGGCTTGGGGGCGCCACCCGACCCCGCGCCCATGCCCCGGGCTCAGTGTCCGCACCACAGGAGTAGGGCTGGCCCTCTTTCCCCAGTGACTGGGCCCCAGTGGGCCGGTGTGGAGAGCCCCAGACCCTGGGGGCCAGGAGAGTGGGGCCGGCGCCGGCCAAACCTTGCCGAAGAGCACGACGCGCAGCTGGTCGGAGAAGTACAGACTCTCGTGGTCCGGGCTGAAGGTCACCGTGAAGTCCTGCGCCCGGCCGGGGTCCATGACGCCCTCGACTGGGACCACGCTGAACACGCTCTGGCCACTGTAGTTCTGCGTGCCTGC